TTAGAAAAGCAAAAAAAAAAAAAAAAAAAAACAATAATAGTCAATTGAAATGATCGGAAGAGCACACGTCTGAACTCCAGTCACGCCGCAACATCTCGTATGCCGTCTTCTGAAAAAAAAAAAAAAAAAAAAAAAGCAAGATAAACAGCCTGAGGGGCAAGTCTCTAAACTGTAACACTGACATGACCCTGGGTTTGGCTGACTCCATGCCTAGACTCTGCCACAACAGTGCCAACACCAGACAGTTTAGTCCACTGTGACTCAAACAGTTCTTATCCAAAATGCCTGGGACAAGAAATATTTCAAATTTTGAAAACATGTTTAGATTTCAGAATGTTTATATGTATAATGTGGTACATTTTAGGGATGGGACCCAATCTAAAGACAACATTCATTTCATGTACACCTTGCACACAGAGCCTGAAGGTATTTAGACAATATTTATTGTACTGCCTTTTGATTGTATCCAACCACATAAGGTCAGATGTGCCATTTTCTAATACTGGAATCAGGGTGGCACTCTGAAAGTTTCAGGTCATGAAGCATTCTGAATTTCTGATTTATTGGTGACACTCAACCTACTCCAAGGACACATTCTGCTGGGGAGACAGCTTGGTGCATACATGCCTGCCTGGCAAGCACCAAGGTCCCGAGTTGGATCCATGGCACCGCAAAAAAAAAAAAAAAAAAAAAAAAAAAAAAAAAAAAAGCACATTTCATCAGTGTGAAGTAATCTACTTCTGGATTCTTCTGGTATCAAACCTGAAGTAATTACAGTCACTCATTATGCCTAATTTCACAATCACTACTCTTTATTTTTTTTATTTTTTACTTTAGGGAAGGGTCTACATGGTGTTCAGGGTCTCACTACTAGATCAGACTCCTAGTGTCGGATTACAGGTGTGCCACCACATCCAGTCTCAATGCCATCTCAGCACGCCTGGGGTTGGGGTCAGCACATCAAGCCTGGGGACCGAACCTCCAGCTCCTGCGCCTGCTTGCAGGAGCTTTAATCTGCTGAGCTATTTGGCCAGCCCTAACAACCACTACTCTTACCGGTTTTGTGCAGTGAACGTTTCCCTCTGAGGATGAAGGTCACTGTAAACGACTCTGATGAGGTCATGCTGACACAAAGCACCTTCCGTCAAAGCCATGGACCCAATCGTTGAGGGCTAAAAACAAGGCACCGTATCAGGCAGCATCATTAAGATCAAGTAAACCTCTGCATCATGGAATATTTCATTTTGTTTAAACAAAAAGCAGATTCAGAGAACTTATCTCTCTTCAAAACCTTTTCTATTTTGCAATTATACACGTCCTACAGCTTCTTTGGGAAATTATATATATAAAATATACAAGGGGCCAGGGAGATGGCTCAGTGGAATAAGCGCTTCCCTGGCAAGCACAAGGG